CGGAGCGGCGCTGCGCCGAGGCGGGCGGGCGGGCGGAGCGGGGCGGGCGGAGCGCGGCGCGTGGGGCTCGCCATTAGCCGTCGCTCCGCTTCGCCATCTCGGGCTTTGTCTGGAGACTCGCTGCCCCGGCGTTGGCTGCAGCGGAGTGCGGTTCGGCTCTTCGGCCCGCCGCGCTCCCAAGTGCCCCCGGCCTCCGCTCGCACCCACACGCTCGGTAAGTGAGCCTCGGTGGCGCGGATTTCGGGGGAAAGGGGTTGCTACCAGCCGCGGCGCCGCTGATCTCCATGCTCCACGCGCCTGGGGCAGGCCTGAGGAGCCATGCCCGGCTGGATTGAACCGGCTCCCAGAGCCAGTCCTCCACCGGGTCCGGCGGTTACTCGCGAGTTCTCGGATGTAGGGAACAAGGGGATCTTTTTAAGGGGGCGAAGTGGTTTTTAGTGCTTTTTTTTAAGTTTCGTGGGTGCCGTTCGGCATTAAGGGGATCGCGAGGTAGGCGCCGAAACCTGGCACCGCGATCGGCGTGCGTGCGCCCCGAACCGATGGCCAAGCTCCGGGGACCAGGGTGGGCACCGATCGTCCCCTCCTGGAAGCCGGAGGCGATCTGGCCAGGAAGACCGAGCCTCAAGCTGGGCGAACCTGGAAGAGGGCTCCGGAGCAGGGCTGCCGGCACCCCCAAGCCTCGCCGGCCGCCCGGGGAACCCTCCCGGCACCCTGTCCACTGTCGCTCCTCGGCCCTCCCTCCCTCGCCGGCCAAGCCTGCTAGTTCCCCCGCGCGTCTGGCGAGGTCGCTCTCGGCGCCTTGCTTGCCTGCCTGCCCGCCTGCCCGCCCGCCTCGGCCGGGAGCCTCGCCGCCATCCGGGCGGCTGCGTGTCTCCCAGCCCCGGCGCCCCCCCTCCCCGACGGCCGCAGCAACAGCAGCAGCCGCCGCCACTACCACCACCCCCCCTCCCCTCCTTCCTTCCCTCCGCCTCGGCCGCCCGGGTCCCCCCAGCTCCCGCCCCTCCTCCCAGCTGCCCCCCGCGGAGCCCGCCCGGGCAGGCTGTGGGAGGGAGCGGAGCCGGCGAGGCGGGCGGGCTGGCGCTCACTCCCCGGGGGTCGGTGTGCGCTCTACGGGGAAGGACGCGCTCGCTGCCCCGCTTCTCCCGCCCCCC